CCACGGGAACCGTAAATTTTTCCGGGATAAAAAGTCTGTATACTATTCCAAACTATAATCTATCTCTATGTCAAATTTTATTTAGAACGGTTCAACCGTTTTGGCGTGAAAGACTAAGAAACATCCATCCATTTATCCTCACAAACTGTCACATTTATAATATTAACAACTACTAAATTAAATACATAAGTGTAGGAATATCAATCGGTAAGATAAATAAATATTTAAATCAATTTCAATTATATAGATATTGATTTGTAGGAAACCAAAGCTTTAAATGTAAATGAAAATGATTATATTGAAAGGTTAGTAAATTAAATTATTGCACATAATCTAAAAATGTTATAGTGTAGTAATTTGATATCTATCAATTTTGTGGACAACGTTTTCTCATACTAATCAGTATGAGAGAAGTAACTACGTTTTTACTAATTGTAATTAAATAACAATTTACCAATGCTATCTGTAATATTACTATGTCTAACTAACTCGGTGGTGTAGTGGCTAGCATGTACGGTTGCACACCCGCAGGTCCTGGGTTCGAGTCCCGGGTTGGGCCAAGTTTAGTTATTGAGTCTTTCTGTATAGTCAGCCCGGAGTCGATAAGTGCCCTGGAGAGCACGTAAAGGCATCGGTCCTGCGCCTTAACTCTCACCAGTCGTGTCGAGTAGTCGTCGTATGAGAATGACAGGAATAGAGAGTGCACTTGTGTCTGCGCGTACACTTATGCACTATAATATCTCCTGCGCAGTTGGCTAGTCTCAATTAGATTGGTCGCCGTGGCCGGAATCGGTCAGGAGGACATTATTACTATGCTATAAATTTCCGTAAAAATATAGTTAATGATGAAGTATAAAAATTATTTTTGTTTATTTTACCATATAAATATTATTGTTAGAATTCTTGCTTGTGCGAATAATATGATTTAACTCCTAAAGGTGTAAAGACTAATGACTTTGAGATTGTGAGCTATTTTATAACTTGTTGTAAAGCCAATAAAATAATTTAGAAGAACATTTTAATTATGAAACCTATTTCTACGAAGAAACTAATAGCTGTGGCGTTGACAACCATAAACAAATTAGGTAAAAATTTGTTGTTTTTGTGGATTTATGGCAACCGTAATATAATTGCGGTAAAAATATCTTGTCCTAGTGGCGACAGTAGACGAACCTCGTTTCATTGTTCTCGGTGAAATTCTAAAGAATTTACTGCTTACTCATCAAACGAAACTGTATTCAACATAATGTACAATTTTTCTTTAACAATTTTGGGATTCCTTGCTATTTATTAGCCTTTTTCGTTGTAACGTACATATTTACTTAAGTTTTATTATTTTTGTTGCTGGTGATTGATATTAAATTTCGAAATTATTATAAATATGTTTTTTTTTAATATCGTCTATTTAATTTATTAATATTTTAACAATAATATACTAGCGACCTAATTACTTTTTAAGGCGCATTTGCATCGGAAACCATTCAATATACCTACCGACAGACCATGATCTGGGATCTGGATATTTATTGCATATTCAGATCATGGTCTACTTGTTATATGCTAATTTTCATACAAATTTTATCAACGGTTTACATGTGATTATGTAAATACTATATAAATTTAGAATGTTACTATGATTTTTAGTGTTATATTTACACTAAAAATCATATCAACATTCTAAATTTGCTATGTTATATCATAGCTATGAAAGTTGAAGTGCGGAACCATAGCTCCTAAGTTTAATATCCGTGCAACATTTCGTTTCTTTTTGTTATTTCAATAAAAGAATCTGAACAGTTCTGAATGGGCCATAAAAAGTCTTCTGGTTATGGTTAATACAATTGTTTCAATACTTTTTGGTTTCAATTTTGGCTGCTAGTTTAGTATTCTATTGTTTGTTTCTTAGCTTCACGTCGAACTGTAACAATTACTGAGCTTCCGGAAGCTCAGATTCGTTCCAGTTTGTCAATACGAAGTTTGGAATTGAACTCACAAGTGTATATAAAACATTGCCAAATTCGTTCTACAAAAGAGTAGCATTTCGTTTAAGACAATTAAAATTTGAAACTACGACTTTAAAGTCAATATTTTAGATTGTTTATTTTACTTCACTTGTATAGATATTGGTTAAAAATATTGAGCAGCTCTGTGTATTTTATTTTTACTTCCGATAAATTGCTTTTATATAATCGTTATTATAACAGACTAAAGATAAGAGTAATAAACGTTATTCGAAAAAGAGATATCGAAGCAAGAACTGATATCAGGAAATGTCAATATTTTTATACGGCGTTTCTTTGGGAAGATCTTTGTGAGACATTTTCGAAGCTAGTTGTTATGAGATAAGTGGTAATATTGTGTATATTGCAAGTAAATATTGGTCGTCACGGGCACGTGAGATGTTGACTCTCAATGCTCGCTCAGAATATAAATAGTTTTTTCTCCGATATGACCTTGCACCTCCTTTTACGAAGAAACTAAAACTATGAATGTTTATTATATTTGTTATAACACATAACATTGCTTAGAATTTTTGTTAACTATGTCATAAAGATCGTACTTTGAAATAGTTGATAATACTAACAGAGGAATTTATCTTTATACATAGTATGTCTTAAAGAGAGTTTTATTACGTTCAATTACATAGAGCCAATTCTAAAAATTCTTACAGTTAAACTTAAAAAGTCATTGTCTTTGAATAATATAAACTATTAGACTAGCGGCTCGTCCTCATTCCGCTCGGGTTTGTCTCTACTTACGTTTTAGCGTTTAGTATAGATTTCTCAAAGATGAGGTATTTTCCCGCAGTAAAAAGTATTCTATATGTTGACCCGCATAACCAGCTATTATCATACCCATCAAATCTCTCCAGTGGTTTTCCGTGATCCGGTCACAGACAGACAGGCAGTCAAAAATTCTAAAAACTATAGATTAGGCCGCTCTATCGATAATAATGTCTATTTCAATAAGATTTACTAAAAATATTTAATGTACAGATTCGGCTTAGTTACAATTTTATTATATGTAGGTATAGATTATTCGTTTGCTTACCTTCATCATGTACATACATAATAAAATATGTTTCTAAGTACATGTGTAAAATTATAACTTATACATTTTTAATATACATAAGACTGTCTTTACATTTTGTGTGACTTTCTTCAAAGGCTTATTTCGTCTCCCACGGTAGATGCAATTTGACACGCACGTGTCACGGAATACGATGACTTTTGGTGACTCACGATAGCCCAGCTATCGTCAATAGACGTGTTTTTTCAGCTAACTAGCCCATGTAGGCATTAGTCTGTTTTTTGTTCATCATATATATTTTTCTGTATATAATTTAATTAATATGAATGTACGTATAAAGACATATAAAATTACTAATTTCATCGTATTTTCTGTACAATATTTTTTTTGGCTTTTATTACAAAAAATATCTGCAATTTTTTAATTATATCAATTTTTTATACATTAATTCTTATCATATAGGAATTATGAATAGGCAGTCACACTATTGCTTTTTTCTTTAGCACGAAATTCTAACTGAAAAATTCTGAGTCGAATCTTATTGAAATATGTAGTTATTATTATCGATATAGAGGCCGAATCTATAGTTTTTAGATTTTTTATCATCTGTCTGTCGGGGAACGCATTACGAGAAAGCCACTGGACAGATTTTGATGAAATTTGGTATGATGATAGCTGGTTATCCGGGTCAACATATAAGATATTTTTTACTGTAGGGAAATATCTCATCTTTATTAACCATTAAAACCTACTTAGAGACGAACCCGAGCGGAGCGAAGGTGAGTCACTAGTGTTATAATATTAATACGATAATTCTTAAACAATTTGAATAGGATATTACAATAAAAGAAATATAATATAGCTATATTATTTCAACATCTGTTGTCATACTTAGTAGGTTAAGTGCACAATAGGATTGTCGACCGCAATGCCATTATTATCTCGTTTTTACGTATCTCAGTTCTGTCAATCAAACATCAGTGTCCGCCCTCTCAAAGTTTATCGCACATGCACTTCCTTTTCCTGCCACCTCTTAAGAATAGTGCTTATCGCAATATTTTTAAAAATTGCTACTTTATACGTAGTAACATTTGACATAAAGCTATTATAATAGCAAGGAGTACAAAGTCAATACACTACAATATGCTTAATATTACTAACATATTTTTAAAGAACTTTCTTATTGTGTTTATAATATTTTGTGGATAAAATTGGTTAAATCCGTTCATTTAGAATAAATAAATAAATATTATTAAAATAAAAATACATTCTTAAAAATATTTTATTTCATGCTTTAATTTTATTCACTTGTGCATATTATGAAAAGTGCTATTAAATAGGAACTAAATACAAGACCTATCATACTAGCTTTAAAAATAAACATAAATTGTGTCTCACATAAATGATGAATAAATTAGTTTCAATAGATCTAAGAATGTTTAGAAAAAAAAATGTTTAGAAACTATACAATATATACTTAAAAAAGCTAATTTAGTAAATACATAACAGAAACTTATGTACGAAATATGTAATAACTAATACCTATACGACCTCCACTGTGGTGTAATTTGAGGAGCAGCGTTCATTAAATCACGCAGGCATAAGTCTTCTACTCTTTAAAACTAATATTTTTGAGTGTTTTAAAACAGGCGTACCATCTGTTATGAGCCGATGCAGTGCGGGTCCCACCAATACAAAAGCCCCCGATACCCCGCGCTCGCCCCCCTCACAGATATCCACGCGGCTTTCGTTCGTTCAAACTTACGTAGGTCAGTTACCGCCCGACCGCAGGGGAGTATGGCTGCGTCAAAACTTTTACCGCGATCGCGCAGTTTCTGTTTACGCTCGATGTAATACAAAGTTTACCGATCAAAACAAACATCGAAATATTGACTTCTAAGTGATAAGACTTTTATGAACAATATTATAAGTGATTTTAAATGACAAATGAACTGTGTTAAAGTGGAAAAATGATTATGAACTTATTTGGAATGAATTCTTTTAAAGTTTGGATGTGTTTGGTTGTGGTGGCCGGTGCGCGCGCACGCTCTGCGCCGCCCGCCCCCGTCGGCTGTCAGTGGGACTACTCGGACGCCAAGTTGAGTGAATCAAACTTTCTCACGTGTAACATTAAAACCATCGGCTCAGCGGATTTCTTGTTTAAAAACATAACCACTGCGCAGGCGTACAATATCAACAAATTAGAACTTACTTGCACTGATTTACTGTTCTTTGAAAGTTCTTTGCACATGAATACAGGCAGTTTTTTAGGACAATTGCGAAAACTCGAGGACCTGCGCGTTGAGTTCTGCAAAATACGTTACGTCCCAGCGACGGTTCTCTCACCGTTACGTGATTTAACAAGTTTGACTCTACGTTCTCATAATACAGATTGGCCTGCCATGACAATGGAATTTCATGCAGAGAGTTTTCGGGGCTTAATGGAACTTCGATCTTTGGATTTAGGTGACAATAATATTTACTTGTTACCATCCGAAGTTTTTTGCCCTCTATTTAGTTTGGAATCACTAAATTTAACAAACAATAGATTACAAGACATATCTGATATTGGATTTTCTAACTGGGGAAAAGGACCAATTGCACCCGGTAAATCTTGCAACACGGGATTAAAAATGCTTGACTTGTCACATAATAATATTTTAAGACTGCCTGATAACGGTCTTTCAAGCCTCAGATCTTTAGAAGTGTTGAATATTCAGAATAATTTAATTAATGAAATAGGCGACAGAGCTTTTGTCGGATTAAATTCATTAAAAATTCTTAACTTATCGGGGAATAAGCTAGTGGCTGTGCCACCGGAATTATTTCAATCTTCACGTGTCATCAAAGAAATCTCATTAGCCAATAATTCTCTATCAGTATTGGCACCGGGATTATTGGAAGGCCTTGATCAACTAGAAAAATTAGATCTCTCTAGAAATCGGCTCACGAATGATTGGGTGAATAGAGATACATTTGCTGGATTAATACGTTTAATTATTTTAAACTTGTCTAATAATTTACTTACACGTTTAGACCCAAAATCATTTCAAGACCTCAATAACTTACAAGTTTTAAACTTGGATAACAATGCAATCGAAGTTATTAGTAATGGTGCTTTTGTAGAATTGAAAAATTTACATCAATTATCAATGTCAGATAATAAAATAAAAATATTGAATGAAAATATTTTCTCAAATTTATTTGTACTCAGTCAATTATATTTAGATAACAATCAAATATCTACAATACATGAACGCTGTTTTGAAAATATTACATACCTCCAAGACTTAGGACTTAATGGAAATAACTTAAACATGATTCCTACCGGCATTAAAAAACTGAGATTTTTGAAATCACTTGATATTGGAAAAAACAACATAACAAAAGTGAGCAATACTTCTTTTGAAGGTTTAGAGGAACTATATGGTTTGCGTCTTGTCGACAATTACATTACAAGTATACCAAAAGATACATTTAGTTCTTTACCATCATTACAGGTTTTGAACTTAGCTTCAAATAGAATTGAAACAATAGAACAAGATGCATTTCTCTCAAACCCAACTTTAAAAGCTATTCGTCTAGATGGAAATAAACTTACAGATATTCGAGGCGTATTCAACAAGTTAAACACTCTAGGCTGGTTAAATATATCTGATAATAAACTTATATATTTCGATTATAGCTATATGCCAGAGACCCTTGAATGGCTCGACATTCATATGAATAATATAACAAAACTAGATAACGAGCAAAACGTGCAACAAAACATCCGAATGCTCGACGCTAGCTACAATGCTTTAGAAAACGTCGATGAAAGGTCGATACCAGATTCAATAGAGATCCTTTTCTTAAATAATAACAAAATTCATACAATTTATCCAGGTACATTTATACAGAAACGAAATTTAGAAAAAGTTATTATTACTGACAATAAGCTGAGAACCGTAGAGTTAGCGGCATTCACGCTACCTCATATACCGAGACATAGAATATTGCCAAGATTCTTTATTGGAAATAATCCATTTGTATGTAACTGTCACATGATATGGCTACAAAAAATAAATCTTTGGAATCACATGAGACAATATCCTAGATTTGAGGATTTAGACTCGATTACTTGTGAAGTAGTTAGCAACAAGTATGGCGGAAAGGAGAAATTAATGGATGTTCCCGAAACACAGTTCCTTTGTTCTTATGAAACTCATTGTTCTTCAAGTTGTTTCTGTTGCGACTTCGAAGCTTGTGATTGTAAAATGACCTGTCCTGAGGGTTGCTCTTGTTTTCATGATAGTAATTGGAATTCTAATGTCATTGATTGTTCGAAAGTTGGATATACTGAAGTGCCTGAGAAGATACCTATGGACGCTACAGAATTGTATCTAGATGGAAACGACTTTGGTTCGCTAGGAAGCCATCTTTTTATTGGAAAGAAAAAGCTACATAAATTATATTTAAATAATAGCAATATTGCCTACATTGACAACGATACATTCAATGGATTACATTCACTTAATGTAATTCATCTCGAAAATAACCATTTGACTGAACTGTCTGGCGGAGAATTCTCCCAAACTAAGCATTTGCGAGAGTTATATTTGAATGATAACCTTTTAGTAAATGTCTCAAATAAGACCTTTGAAAATCTACCTTCTCTACGTATTGCACACATACAAGGGAATAAAATATTAGATATTGATAAAAAAATGTCAAAAACCTCTCACTTAGAAGATCTCAAAGTACGAGGGAACGTATTCACTTGCGCGTGTGACAATTTAATGGCTCTGCAAAATTGGTTCAAGAAGTATAATGAAGATCCAGCAGAAATGTTTTGTGTATCTGAGAACAATTCTAATTTAAATCTTACAGTGTTTGATGTGATAGATAAGTGTCGTGACTCTGGTATATTAGACAATTCTATTCCAACTGAAAATCAACCTTATCAATATGATGAAATTAGCACTATTAAGTTAAATTTTGTACCTCTTTTAGCTGTAGTATTAATAAGCGTGATTCTTATATTACTATTCGGTGCTTTAGCATTCTCTTTTAGACAAAATGTACGCCTATGGGCCCATTCTAAGTATGGAGTTAGATTATTTAAGAGTGCTTCTATCCAGGAAAGTGAGCTTGATAGGGATAGGCTTTATGATGCATATGCAGTTTATAGTTTGTTAGATGATGATTTCGTAACTAAGATAGTAGCACCTGAGATGGAACATTGTGGCTATACTATGTGCTTTCACTATAGAGATTTACAACACGCTCCAGAAAATTATTTATCAGAACAAATTACAAACGCTGCAGAATCTTCAAAGAGATTGATAATTTTTGTTTCGTTTAATTTCTTACAAAATGAATGGTCTAAAGTTTGGTTCAAAGAGGCAATAAAACATGTTATCACATCCATTCACCCTTCCATAAGACGGCATAGAGTAGTTTTTATTTTAACAACGGACGTGAGCGCGTTAAATTTAGATTTAGATTTCCAGAACTATTTAAAGAGTTGTAATGTATTACTTTGGGGAGAGAAAAAATTTTGGGAGAAAATGAGGTTCCTTATGCCGGATATTTCAAACTTGCAATGGAATAAGGACGCCATTAATTATAATCGCGGTGTGTGTTCTAATGGTAGGCGACATCCCTCTCGTTACACTGCTTCACCTACGGCGCCGGAGCTTTGGTATAAATACGATGCAATTCCTCCCCAAACACCAACGTCTGCTAATGTAGGTATTCATATTGAAGACGATACATCTATGCTAACTAATACAACAATAACGAGTCAAATCCAAGAAGGTGACAATCCACATCATAGTTACATTTCAATTGATACTCAAAACTATGAGCAGCCATATGGTGGTCGTCCTAGGCCGCCAAATACGATAAGAAAGCATCCTGGCCATACCTCCCCTTCAATACTCGATGAGCAAGGCTATTTACAACCCCGATCTTCTGTACATGATTGCTTGCCTCAAACCCATTCGTCCATACATAGATAACATTTCACTAAACTCGACTATCGTTATCTTTTATATATATTTCTAAATGGAACACTACATTCCAACCCCATGTGTAGAATAGACTACGTTTAAGTTGCCCAAGCCTTATAGATACGTGATAATGTTACAAAGTTTCGGTTGATTGACTCGGCCAAATACTAATTCGTTCCTTTAGTTCTCATAGGACATAGAATTATATTAAAAGACTGTATAACGAAATCATCGCATACGTATCGGAATAAATATAGCCTTATTATTTGTGTAACTAAAGTGGATAAATGTAAATTCATACATTTATGTAACGTATGATGAAATTGTCCTGTAAGACTGAAAAAGTATGTTAAGAACGAATTGCCAGTATAATAGATAAAATAACCTTAAGTATTTTGGTATAGTATGTTATCTCATTATTACCAAATATAATGTAAATATAATATATTATGTAAGTATTATGTAACATAATAAATGTATAGTTTTACTAGTCATTAATTAAGATTAAATAGTGTTGTTATTTGTAGATAGAGAACTATACAGTCAATAACATCATCTCTTGTTTAATCTACGTTGTGAATAATTCTTGTATTCTATTCAGTTATAAAAACCTAAATTATATGTTTTATTTTGTATGTATACGTGTTATTGACTGTGTAGAGGATAATATAATCAATTGTCGACTATTAAATGTGCTGACATATAACAAAACAAATAAAATGATTGAAATTATTTCATATATTTTATTTCTCACCATACGGTTGTAAAAATTATTTCGTATTTCAATATTAAACAATACTTCATTTGATAAATATTTCAATGTTTAAATTATATACATAGTTAAATAATTTTAAATATTTTTTTTAGTTTTTTCTTTTGCAATATGCATTATTGATATCACAAAAAATGAATAAAGAATAGTTAACTTACAATACAGTTTTGAAGAGTCATTTGTATCTGTGGTTTGTTAGCACAAGTTTTTTACCGACAAAGAATCAAAATGTCTATAAAAACCAAATGGCAGTATAATCCGCCGTTGTTTTTTGATCTGAACATCAAGAAATAATGAAAAAAGGTCTAAAAGTTTACGGTTTGCCGACAATTACCCTGAGCTATAATGATGAACCCAAAGCCAGGTAGAAGAAGTAAAGTCCAGTCATATTTCAACCGCCACGGCTCCTATAAAAAAGATTTACAATACTTATAGATTTATAATAACTTTACCGTATTTGAAAGTATTTATGGACTTTGGTTGTCTTTAACCTTCTGTCACGGTCCTTAGCTTTTGATTTTTTGTCAGTTTTCAGTGTGAGCGTCGCACCAGCAACATATGGTGTGACATACTTTGAATGACCGCCAACCGGCCAGTTTAGTTTTTGTCCGAGAAATACCCAAAAAGCATTTTCGAAGCAACTGCTACTGTTAGTTTAATTTTTTTTAATATTCCCAACTTATGATAATATAATTTAATATTTATATAACCCTAAGAGTTTTATATTTGAAATATTACCTTTAATATTCATTCGTAACGAACAGATGACAATACATAGATCTTTCTTTAAATCATAATTAAATAATACGTAGTAATCACAATGTTTATTTTTTCTTTATATTTTTAAATAATAACCTAAAATTTAAAATACATTAAGTGTACCTACTAATAAAACTAATAGCTTTTATGTTGGTACTAGACACAAAGTCAATAGGATGTTCTCGGTCAGGACGCTAGATACTACTTTGATCCAGGACTTACCCCTTTTGTACGACTTATTCTTGTACTTACTTCTTATAGCAATGTACCTATTTAGGTCAGCGTAAATAATGTAATTGCTTTAAATATGACATAACGAGATTTTCTATTAATATTTGATTATAATGATAGGCTCTCTCGTAGACACAGTAGATCTTTCCAGCACTGAAACAAGGATACATAAAATTAATAAATATTAGTTACTCAATAAAACTATGCACACTATCATACCCATTTATATTAATATATTTGAATTAAATTAAGTAAATATTTCTATCAGAATCAGAAACATAGTTATTGGATATAAACTGTGAATTATGTTGGTGTTAATTATACATATTTTGTTCAACATGGAAGGCAAGACGCTCGTAACACAAGTTCACTTAGTACGAGTGTCTTAGATTTGTATAAATGATTTTTTGTATTTGATAAATAAATAAATAGTGATAAATAGATATATACTGAAATATTTTAAATTTGAATTAGCTAAATAATACTGAATTATAAAAAAAATATCCCAGCTCTTATATCTGTTTGTCTATTTTCTCAAGTATTACGAGTAAATAGAGTAAATATTAAAAACCATTAAATAATATATTATTTTATACTCCGTAATATACTTCGTATTGTTACACCTATATAAATAAACTCGCATTCAAAAAATAAATTGTTCAATTATATTTAGTAAATGTTTCTATCAAAATTAAAAACATTTTATCTTATTGTCCAATACATTACCAAAACTACATCAATTCGAGGATACCTGCTATCTATATCCGGGAATATCGGACCTATCTCAGCATTTCACGGTTAAACGCACCATTGGCTTTCCCGATCATCCCAAATATGCCAACTATAGATAAGACCACAGATAAATGAAACTGCTTTATATTAGCTTTGTCACTTTATACTAGAGTAAGCTAATGTGTAATTTAGTATTGTTTCATCATATAACATATTAATGGGATATTAATATGTTATATGATGAAACAATACTAAATTAGAGCATTCCTTCCGTCATAGTAATTATTATAATTTATTGTATTATACAAACTTTTTCTGCTGTTATGTAACTCTTATAATAATTAAATAATTAGAATTATAAGCATTTACAAAGATTAAAATAGGTCGTAAGATTATTGAAATATCTATACTAATATTATATGTATGTAAATATGGAAGTTTGTGAGTATGGTTGTTTAATACTCTTTCACGCCAGAACGGCTGAACGGATCTGGATAAAATTAGGCACAGAGATAGATTATAGTCTAAAATAACACATAGGCACTTTTTATCCCGGAAAATGTACGGTTCCTTTGGGATAGATTTGTGTTTGTTTTTCTAGAGGCGAACCCGAGCGAAGTGAGAGTGAGCCGCTAGTAGATTATATAATTGTATACTTTTGAGCCAATTCTCATAATTCTATAATGCTTATTTTTAGAATACCTAATCTGAAACTAAAATCAAAATAAAGCAGCATAAGTCAAGAAGCATTACACCAGAAGGTGGTCATAATAAGACGTATTGATGCATTTGCATAATTGGTTTATCGATAATATATAGTTGAGTCATTCAATCTGTTTTAAAATGAAGTTGAAATATTTTGTTTGCTCAAACCGTATACAAAAGAATGACTGATGAGCAGGTCTGACTCGAATCAAATCAGATATGATTTTTGTATGGCATTTGATCGACATTTCATATCCAAGGCCAAATGTTTTCGACAACAACGAAATTTATTTGGTCGGTTTTCATACCACCCGCTGGCTGGACATTTCGTTTCACACTTCAAGTTGCCGAGCAGTACAGAGGTCACGTCCTCTCACTCAAAATTCAACCGGGAGCGTTCTCTCGAAATTGGTTCGTGACAACTGAGAGATACTTATCGTGATTTTCTTGGCAATTCCGATACATTGCTCTCTTAGTTGGAGTAATGGGAGCATGAGAACGGACAGACGAAATTATTGTTAGACAAATATGGAAGTGTGTTTGTAGAACGATTATTGTAGTCAAAACTGCACTATTATCTTATCGATTTATTTCACGCCTTTGATACTTTACTTCTAATGAAATGATCTTTTTTTGCTTTCTTTTTAGAATAAAATGACTGTGATAGTTATATTCCAATAGGATATTTTTATTTCATTACTCAATTATTTACAGATAAATGAACTACAAAGGTTGATTATGCTAGATATATAAAAATCTAATTTATAAACTTCTGTTAGTTTAAAATAAGAGAGTCTTATATCTTTATCTTAACATACTTATATTATAGAGATAACAGTAAAAAGGCTTATTCATCTTAAATGTAATTAGACTGTTTATACACGTCCCATATAATTACCATAAATAGCCAACATTTTATACAAAGCGTGTATTTATCATTGGGCTTTTTGAAATAAGTTAATTATTATATTATTATAACTAGCGACTCACACTCGATTCGCTCGTTCGTCCCTAGTTCCGTTTTAATGTTTAGTATATATTTCTGAGAGATAGGATATTTTCCCGCAGTAAAAAGTATCCTATATGCTGACTCGGATAAACTGCTATCATCATACCAAATTTCATCAAAATCTGTCCTGTGGTTTTCTCGTGATGCGTTCCCAGACAGATAGACAGACGGTAATTCCAAAAACGATAGATTCGGCCTCTATATCGATAATAATGACTATTTCTATAAGATTTCTATATGAAGACGGTTCAAAAAAATTATTACCTAGCTAAGCTATGTGAAAACTTTTTGATTAAAATAAATTTATACGTACGTATATATACGTACCACTAATAATTTAATTAAATAAATATTTTCATTAAAAATCACATTTGTAACATAAAGTTTTATAAACATGAAATTGATATAGATACAATGAAATCTAATAAACTAACCAAGACAGAAAAAAAAATTACACATTTTCTTAGTTCAACAAATTACTCTAACGAAAATTGAGTTATGGGAATCAGAAACTGGATAAATCACAACATAATGTCATGGAGACACAAAAAAATTTGAGGCTGGGAAACGTCGTGTCAATTCCATTATACCAATGTACCGGTCAGTGAACACGATTTTTAGGTATCTGATACGGAGTAGCTGAGTTGAGATATTTCTACTCAGTAATATTAGTCATAGCGAAGTAGATATTATGTATATATCCAACTAGATATAATAATAAATAACCCAATCAAAACTTTGTTTAGCTATGATTATATTATATGATTCAAGCGATAATACATGTAACATATAATAAAA